GATTGGTTACAGGATTTCGTCATGAGCTGACATTAGTTAGTTCTTTATTATTGTTTGATTCTCCTATCAGCTCACTCACATTAGCAATACAAGTACGTTAAAAAGTTTCTCTCAATGTACACTTAGTAAAAATTTCATCGGTCATGTGTGACTAATCAGAAATCAGTGAAATCGAATAATATCATCTTATCCTACTCCAACCACTGCTTTTGTTATATTCAGGATGAATAGAAGTATGAAGTTGCTTAGATTGGTAAGTGGTAATCAGGATGTAATGGAAATTTATCAGGGCTGAATAGTTTTGATTAATACAAAAATAGTTGATAAATGATGAGTAATTTGTATAAAGAAAAGCATGGAATCGCATTGGCTGCGGCAGGACATTTCAAAGTTGAATAATTGATGTCCAAGAGATTATCAATTTTTGCACTAATTATAGATCCATTTCTCTCTTTTTACAAGTGCTCGCAACTGTGTTCTGGAATGTATTTTATGACAGCCTGTGCCACCGAAAGAGGCTAACTGGTACATTGGAGTAGAGATGTCCAAGTACACTGTCTTTTTCTTCAGGTTATTGATGGCAAAAAAAAGCTAGAGAACATTAATCTTAAAGTTACACTGAAGATTACCGTTTTTCGGGAATAAGATTTTCTTTTCTTCAGAATGCCAGAAGTTCAATCACTATTTTTATCATATCTTTTGAGAGATAGTATACCGGTTACTGTCTGTGATTCACACTGAATGATGGCATATCAAATACGTAATTTATCTTAAGAAGGGTTGCACAATCAAATAAGACCAGTGGCACTTCACTCAGTCATTAGGAATACCACTGTAAGAACGTGATTACTATTCAAACTTGATTTAATTTTCATTCCACCAGTGATAACATAGTTTATAGACTAGTTTAAAGCAGATAGATTTCATTGTGCGTTTCTGTATAAGTTAGAAAAATCGACTATGTATGTGACATATCTGTCATGCAATTTTTTTGTAGTGGTAGTATTAGTAGCAGTAGTCATTTTGAACAACCATATTTTTTTCATTATGTCTTTGCGTTGGTAATAAAAAATACCCTGGGGTATTTTAGAATATATAGTATAGCAAACACTACGACAGATACACCATCTATGCAAAATACTTAATATAGCACCTTTGAAACAGCTAAACGTAACATCTGAAATGATTACAGCGTTCACCTAAGCAAGTAATACAAAATCAACTATCTGAAGGATTTCATTTCGAAAATGACCACCTCTGTTCTACAACCATACTGAAACAAAGACGCGGCGAGTGTGATTTGCAGTAGCTCGTTTTCCCGCACAAAGGAAAGGAAAGGAAATTGTTTCATTATAAAACACTGCATATCTTGTTTTTTTGAGTGAAGTACAGTAACCATTTTTTGTTCAGAATAAACTATGATAGTTAGCGAACAGTTTATTGTGCCATTCGAAAATTCATTTAACTCACATAAAAGTTTCTTAATTTGAGCAAATAATTATCACTAAGTGGTCTATGCTTCATTATATATATATATATATATATATATATATATATATATATATATTGATTTGAGTACCTTTGGTTTCCCAAGGAGACTGTAATTGATAAACGCTCAAATAAATCAAATAACGTTTCTTTATTTTTGCTTTTATATGATTATATTATGAACAATTCTAAAACATGTGAAACGGTTTATTTAAGGTAGTTTTAATAATTTCAACTTTATTTTCCAACACTGACATTCGATACTTCATTTTAGACTACTACAAACCATTAAAGTAGCATTTCAAGTTTAAAGGAAAGTCAGTAGTTCACATGTATCCTTCCTTTATATCTGAGATACAAATCAGCTGTTTAGAAATCAAGACAGTATCACGCCTGAGTTACTTCTGATGACGGGACCACAAAACTGGTAGTTTCTTTTCAAGTAGGCAGATATATCGGTTCTGTATTAAGTTGCTGTTATTTCATTCATTCTTAGATCTACATTGACAGATTTTTTTCGTAAAGTAACTAGCTACCAAACGAGTTGAAATGTTTGTATGTCACTTTTATATTCCAGGCATCCCTATTTTGAAAAAAAGACATAACCAAGTGGGATTAAATATTTGATCAAGACTGAACACCAGATTGTTCTGTTCGTCTTATTCAGTCCTATTCAGCTACATGTGGTTGCATCTTAGTAAAGGTTGCTTTTTATACCAGACGCCCACTTTTTTAAGAGTTATCGACTCGGTGACTGAATCACAAGACCTATCTATTCCTTGCACGACGAATCAATTTGTTAGTTTTAGCGCGTGTAATTTCACGTTGATTTTACCTGACAGAAGTCATAAGTTTCTTTTGTCATATGAAACCTTCCAAAAAGGCTGTCTGAGAAATGTCTTGTGTTTATTTTAGTGTTATGGAAACATTCAAAGTAAACTACGGAATGAATTGCAACTACTGACATTTAGAGTTAAGTTTATTATTCAAGACCCGACTTTAATCTAGTAAAATATTTATTGTAGAATAAAGCGTCATGTGAAGCATCACAATGGTATATTTTGAAATGTATTTCACATTTAGGCATATTTATGGCAATGGTGCATTTGATGGAATACATTGTTCATTCACTTGTAGACAGACGGTGACAATATCCTGCACACATAAATTAAAAATTAAAGTTACATCTCCTTGTGTAAACAAGATCGATTTAAACGCATATCAATAATAAATTTTGCTGTTTCAGCAAGTAGAAAATTACCTATCATCTATATCATACGATATAAATCACAGTTTAAAATCTCAAGGTTTTTTATTATATTACCAAAGCTTTACTAATCTTTTAGGATATTTCTGCATGGTTCCCTCAAATGGCTTTACTTTTTATAGCATTACTAGATAGAAGGTGGAAATTTCGGTTTATTTACTCCTAAAATCATGATCTGTGACAGTTTAGAATAAATATGATGAACCGTATACTTTATTTCAAAAGCGTCACTGTTTTACTAGTGACAGTCTTAAACCTTATTCTTGTGCTAATATACTCATAAACTCATTTCTAATTCATTCTAAACATATAAAAAAGTGTTAAGACTCATAGTATACTGACAGCCATTGAAAACTTAGTCAGCTAAACTTGTGAGGTGTTTCTTTCATATAATTCTCTCTGTAAATCGAGTTCTAACATATGTGTTATTATATAAAAAGACCGTTAACTATACACTAAGGATGCAAACACTAAATAATTTTGAAGGAAGCACCAGATCTTTAATGAATGCAAGAGTGATAAATCATACTACTTGTCGCAGGTAAAAATACGGTTTGATTATCTCAGATGAACTAGATTTCTTATCCAGAACAAAAATGGTTAAAGAGAGAACACTTGTTTTCAATAAATTGTTCTTCAGGCTCTACAATCATAAATCCACTAATTTTTTAGCATACATTAGCACACATGGGACTTACGTCTGGTCCACCCCGTTTGTTGGTTTATATTTCTATAGTATTCATATTGTCTCACACACCACTGATACACTCACCCTTGAAACCTGTACTTTTGTGGATGAATATATATATATATATATATACATCACTGAATTATTTCATCTCATCTTCTTATTGATTGTGCATATTATAAATGATAATAAAAACTAATTGACTATTGTTTCATCCTTTGCTATACTTTTCCTATAATACATCTCCTGGTATAATTCTAATTTGCCTTTACTGTCTAATGTATATTAAAAAAAATTAATGGATTTATAATTGTAGAGCCTGAAGAAGAATGTATTGATAACAGTCGTTCGCCCCAACTATTATTATTTTGAAGAAATTATGGGGATATTCAAATTGCACTTCTTATGATTCGAAAATTAATTTGATTATTGTCAGAATCGTCTGCACTGCATGTACTGTTTGTTACCTAAGCACGTTCATAAAATTAAACCTTTTCTCGAGGTTCGACTTAAGACTGATTTTGTGCAACATCTGAGAGGTGATATGGAATGTTTAGGTGTTTGGAAACAATCGAAATATGGGCTCATTGGTAAGGTTTCTGACTAAAAAATGATGAGTGGTTAAATTCATATGATTTCCTTTTAGACTACTTAATTGATTTGTTTACACCTTACCTAGAATACTAATCATATCTTGCTATATATCATGGAATGTGGTGTACTCAGACTGATTACTATATCTTTAACAAAAAAGACAGAATCAGTCAGAAAAAAATTTTTGTTTGATTATAGCTTGATTCCACACCGTATTTTTTGGTGTGATATCGGTAGCTTAAATTTTACAGGCCGACCATAGATATCAGGTGTGCGTTGGCAGGGGATCGAACCCCGGACCATATGTATGGTCGGTGAGAGTCCTAACCGCTGTGCCACCGACGCACATTCACATAATAGTAGTTTTAGACTATTGTGCGTTCAACTGTGACTGAAACGTGAGATAGAAAGCGGAAGAGATTACTATATTGCACTATACAACACTGCTATCAAATTTGACAGCATTAAATTTAAAACTATTTTAGTTCTGGTTGCCAGAGTATGATTTATAAAATATATGTCATACTTAAAGGCGAAATACTTTCTGTTTTTAACTGTAGACGCCATTTAAAATTTCTTCAAAAAGTACATCAGGATATGACGAGTTATTTATACGCTTTTATTTTAATTTAATTATTTATCTGTAGAAATTCTAACCAATTTACTGAAACATTCGAATTATTAATTTCGGTAACGGTAAGACTTATATGTCTGGATTCCATCCACTTCTCACCCAATTTTTTTGAACTATTCGGTTAAATCTTAACCGCAGTTAATATAAAATAAATTAACATTGACTGATATATGCTTTATCTTATTTTCGGCTTTAATTCAAAAGTATATTTTAGTAAACCAATAGACAGGCAGTTTCATATCTTGATTAGTCTTGGTCACATTTTTCATCCGAAATTTCATAACCGTTGAATTCTTCTCATTTGTTCCCTTTTTGTTTAAATACTATAGGTGATGACAAAAAATTAAATAAATTTGCGCATAGGATCAAATAAATGAAAGTGGATTGTTTTGTCTTCCAAAAATGTTACTCTTTTTGTTGGTAAACTAGAAAAATAAAAACCAAGGAGCTGAAAACAGACCTTCTTTTACACACACACACACATAGAAGAACTGATGAAATGTCATAACCATTCAAGTAAGAAATTGACATTTAATTATTTTTTTAGAATTTTACCAATATCTTATTTATTGATTTTGATAGTCGAGTTTGTTTTTATAAAAGATTTATTCAAAGACTATGGCTTCCTAAACATATGTGATTCAATAAGTGTAAAATAAAGTTTGGTTGATCTCTGACGAAATCTCAGCACGGATACAGAGGGGTAGTTTCGCATATGCCAGTTTACGCCGTCTCTGGCGTAGACGTGATATCCGACTATCAACCAAAGGGCGGGTGTACTGGCCAGCAGTCCGCTGCGTCCTCCTTTATGGCTGTGAGACCTGGCCTTCGAGAGTGGAAGACATGAAAAGATTAGCTGTCTTTGATCATAGGTGCTTGCCTTCTATCTCCCGTGTGAAATGGCATAATAAGGTGAGCAATATTGAGGTTTTGCATCGGTCGAGTGCTAGGTAGGTGGGAGGGGAAATCAATCGACGAGGCTGTGAAATTACATCGACCGAGATGGTTAGGACACGTGTTACGAATAAATGCCTAGTCATTGCCTTCCGTGACGGACAGTGTTACCTGACATAGGATTCGTCAGGCTGGAAAAGAACTAGCGGCGGTCACACCAAAACATGTCTTTGTCAGTCAATGAAGTCCACAACAGTTAGTTTAAGCCACATAGGAAAGTGTAGACTTCCTGACTGGTTGGCGTCCTCGGGACGGTAAAAATCAATGGTTGAAAGCAATTGGTGATATGGCTCAAAATCCTTCTCAATGACTGGAGCAAATGCATCCACTCCCTGTGACTTATGATTTTCCAATGATTTCCAATTAAACTATGTTGTTCTTCGTTACAACTATTCCTTTGTCTCACACCTCTGTTTACTGTCTCTATTATGCCTTTCTTGTGCTTTCTTCTCTTACTTTGTGTGGTACGTGGAGTGTGGCGACTTGAACTACCGCACATATGTACAAAGTTCTATGTCGAAAACAGACAGACAGATCCCTATTTTTATATAAAGAAGGTTTAACTTAATGTAGAATAATCAGCTAAATGAATAAAAGACTGTGCTAAAAGGTATATGAAGTGTTTACTTCTCTATTTATTCTCATTTCATTGCTTTTTAATGTGCTAACTTCAGAACAGTAGAAGAGCAAAAGTGTCTGAATAATGATTTACTAATATTAAGGTACTCAGTTGGCTAAACAGTTAGTTAGGAACTTCGTTAATATGATTGAAACTAGGAATATGAGAAACTTTGAGAGACACATGAACATCGGAAACAAATTAACTTAATGTTGCATCTCAGAACATAGAAAGAATTTATAAGTCTGTACAAAGGGAAGAAATCTCTACTCTGTGTCGACATTATGAATTGACCATGAATAATGGCCTGATGTTTGGTGGTATCTTTAGCACTACTGTCAAAGGAATTTCATTTTTTATGGTTTGGATAATAAGCTTAGTCATACTGCTAACTGTTTCATGGTCATCCCACAAACTTGAAAGCTGCAGGCTTAGTTCTTATATGAACATTATTAATCACTGCCTCATTGGTTGATAAGTGACTAAGAATAATGAAATAAAACACATATCTACATCTTTAATATGTAATATAGCGAGTAATTAACTCTCCAAAAAAACACAAATTTTATGCATCTCCTTATACAATTTTCACTATTCTTAGTAAAACAAGGATATCTTCTAAGTAATATCAATAGACGTCTCAGTCGAATTCTCACTATGGTAGGCTTCATTACCTGAATATCTAGCTTATCCACTTAGAAATTTCTGCACGACTTTTTTATAATTCAAATACATGTGAGAATAAAGCTCCATTTCGAATTAGTTGTGTTCTTTGAGCTGGTTAATTTATTTGGGAAGCTTTCATCATCCTTCTGAACAACATCTTCAGCGGAGGGTTTATTATAAAATAAACTCACTCGAATTCCCCATGAATGATATACTTGTGTCTCCTGGCAACCATCTTCGTGAATGGTGGTTGATTTACATCTCTAATGATTATTTTTATTGGCTTGGAATTTGAACTTTCTTGTCACGTGATTTATTTTTTATTGGCTGGTAAATTGGTCTGCATTAATATGTTCAATAATTGCTAATTCGCTTGGGTACCAGGCTTCTAGGAATTCTCTGGCACTTTTGGTGTTTCCTCTGTTTAAAATTTCGATATTATCCAAATCAAAATAGTGTCCATAATTATCTACATGTATTGATGTGAAGGAATATATATCACGTCTTTTTACAGCTAATTTGTGTTCTTGGGTTCGGATTCGAAGGGGACGCCTATTTTGACCGATATAATGTCTGTTACAGTTCATACAATTTATTTTGTAAATGGTATTAATTTCATCTTCCTTTCCTATTGGATCTTTCGGTTTGCACAATATCGAGTGAAGTAATTGTGCTGGCTGGCTTGTGTGCTATATCTATTTCAAGCGGTCTTAATATTCTAGCTGTTATTTTGGAGATACTTTTTATACATGGTAGAATTAATTTTCCAGGAGATACAATTATATCATTCATGGAGAATTCAAATGAGTTTATTTTATGCTAGACCCTGCGCTGAAGATGTTGTCCATAAGGACGATAAAAGCTTCGCAATTATATTAACCAGCTCAGAGAATAAAACGAATTCAAAATCATCCACCTGAGCTACAAATCTCTGTTATTTCAATAAACGCCATGTTACTTCCAGTTCTGGAATGTATTAATAATAACAATAATTCTCCTACGTGTGTGTATGTGTTTAAGTGGCCTTGCAGTACTGATAATCGTACTGATGAAAAAAAGTTTCATTTTTGAAAACAAAAGATCTAGAAATATTTAAGTAATCATTCAGACTGTCATATTTAAAGGTTTTTGTTTCAAAAGAATGGTTACTGAACAAAGAACACTCCTTTAGATAACTTCATCATCAGGCTGTACAGTCATATATACATAACAGTGAATGAATTAGTGTTACTAACATTAATGTTGTTTGACTAACATCGAATCAATAATAATAATATCAGTGGATTACAGTCCGATAGCATCAACACAGTAATACACACTGAATATCAAAGAAATTAGGAAAGATAATATTACAAATTCATGAATTTATAGTCGCCACTGAAGGCGGGCCAGGGCAGTAGTAGTGCTGGCCGGACTTGCTTCTTTTGCACACAGAGCACTGGTTGTTTCAGGCGAATCGCGATAGCCTCAGCTGTCTGGAGTATGCGGTACCTGGATGTTTTTGGCGATTCATTTGGTACCCAGTAGATGATAGAAAAGGATTCTTCAATGCTAGCTTTGTGGCCGGTTTGGACCAGAAGGTTTAACATTGAACTGTTGATGGTTTTTACTGCACCTTTACTTAGCCATACTGGAAGATGTTCTCGAGCACGAACAGCCATATATAATTCACTTTTGTATGACACAATAGTCTATGCTGAAGATTCAAACCGACTTCCAGTCATCCTTGTATACGAAAGTAAGCACAAGTACACACAATATGAGCGCTGTTTCTATTATTATGATTTAGATCTGCTGCATACCTTTGACTTAAATCCATTCCGACAGTTATAACTGTATGCTTATGTGATTAAGTGATGGGGTAACTGTTTAGTAACTAAGGGATTTTCTGTGAACAATGATCATCAAAGCGATCATTTTGAGTGATTTTATAATACACTCATGTAACAACATTTTGTTTATTACCAATAATTAATTGTGTTCCATAAGTGGCCAACTAAACACTATTTGAATGCCTTGAGAAGTAAATTGTAATTTGAATAGTTCTTTCAGTATAACTCAATGTCATGAATTCAGGTGCATAGAAATAGCATTAAAATTGAATTCAGCTACCATAATACTTAGTAGTAAAACAATTTAATAATTCTAGTAGAAAGTAATATTAAACCGTAATAGTAAAATAATCTTCAGAAAGTCGACATTTATGAACAACTGTGATTAAGCTATTACTTATTTTTAGAAAGGTGACTTCACATTATCATCATCATTCGAAGCTACATTATATTGAGGTACTAACTCAATAAACGATCCCTTCAGTTTATATTTGTTATTCACTCAGTATAGTAGTTGAACTTGACTGATTTTCTATAGATCCAGTGTACATTGTCAATACTTACGTGTTGTTTAGAAATAACTAGAAGTGCTTTCGGAAATCTGATTATTACAGCACGTAAATACCACAATACCACAATTTCTTATTTTAAAAATCTATATTATTGTGAATTCAGTACTAAATATTCATATTTCAGGACAAAATTATTTTTTATTTATTAGTAGTTCACAATGGAAACGTATTAATTATTTTCATGAAATTTATTGTCATATTGATTTATAACGTGCGTCAGTGGCACAGTGGTAGAATGCTTGCCGACCACGCATGTGGTCCAGGGTTAGATCCCTGGCCGACGCACCCCTCTACCATGTTAAGCCATCAATAAGGCTGTTAAAGAGGGAAGGTTTGGGCGTGGGGCTAGCAAACCCCATCCAGTAAAAATAAAAAACACATCACTGCTACCGAAACTTCGGCGCTCTGGCTTGAAGCCTTATTTTCCACTGGGAACGTGTAAGAATAATAATATTATGATTTACAGCTTCCCTTCTATACTGCATATTGTATTGAGTATGATGTTGAGATGTTTCTTAGTAAACATTGAAGCGCATAGGATTATTCTGGTCGGAAAAATTTAAACTTGTTTATAGAACAGAATATGATTGCTCTGTAGTCAACGGAGATATTGAAAACGTCTCACTCTGACAGACTGTTCTATAATATTGTTAAGTTAAAATTACTCATTTTCCTGCCTTTTTGATTTTACGCGCTTTATCAGCTTCTTTGAGTCTATACAATGGTGTTTTTTTAAAAGTTTTCTATTCACTCTTAATATGCCACTTTCTTGGAAGACGCCTAGAATATATTGCTGAGAAAAAAATATTCGGACTATTGGTCTCTATCTCTCTCTCTCTCAGACCATTGAATCGAGTCAATGCTGTGATCCATTTGTCATCGACACAATCATTTGGGTGAAATAAATATAGATGGTATTGCATGTTAACCAAAGCATTCAGAATAACATCACGTAGTATATTACAGAACAAAGAAATTTCTAAACTGACTGTAATTTTCGATAAAGAAAGGAAGACGAAATTCGCAGTATAAAGTGATATCATTCTATTCCACAGGTTCTCATCAGCTGCAGATTACCTGAAATTACAATGGTTATATAAATGATCAAAACATACTTTCTTGTTTAAGTGGTAGTAGAGAAGTGATAAAATTGACGCATCCAAAATGAATACATTACAATTTTTAGTTTAAGCTTTCATCATCAATTTATACGCTTTTAAAGTTGAAAAGAGGCCTACCAAAAATCCATAAAGCAAATGTGCCTTTAAGACCAATCTTCTCAATGATTGGTTCACCATGCCACAAGTTATGTCTATGGTTAGCTGATTCTATAGACCCTCTTTTTAACTTTAAAAGCGTATAAATTGATGATGAAAATTTAAACTAAAAGTTGTATTGCTTACATTTTGGATGCGTCAGTTCTATAGTATTTCTTCTCTACTACCACTTAAACAAGAAAGTATGTTTTGATCATTTATATAACCATTGTAATTTCAGGTAGTCTGCAGCTGATGAGAACCTGTGAAATAGAATGATATCATTTTATACTGAGAATTTCGTCTTCCTTTCTTTATCGAAATTTATCAAGGGAACCAATAGTATGACTGTAATTTCTTCATAATTACTGCTTAAATTCAATATGGCCTAGAAATAACACTAGGTGAATATATATATTTATTCTTTCATTCATCATTAATTAATTCAATTATCACGTGTTTTTTCCACTCTTATTTTCTCTTGAAAAAAAATATAGTCACAATGTTTCCTATTGAAAAACGACAAAGACATTTATCAATGAAAGTAAGTAAGGCATTTATTTTTAACTGCACATTTTTTTCAAATATAATATTCATATTTTTGCATCTTATTTAACATGAAATGCTTTATGAAGGTATTTAACACAGCCTTAGTTACCAAATACACCTATGAGTATTATTGCCTTCAAAAGGTACTACTTTTTGTTATACTGACACGTAGAGTTTATTCACATGATATATATATATATATATATATATATATATATATATATATATCGATTTATTGAACAAAATGCTTCAAATGCTTCTTGTTTCTTCATATTATAGACTATCTTTTCGCTTGTAGACTGAGCAAAACTGCTTTTTTGTGATTACAGATACTAGGCGTAAAAACTAAAGACTAAGTATATTATTAAAGGCGCTGAATCAAAACTTGAGGAAGGAGGTTTGAGTTTGTGTTTATGAATTATAACTTCTTGTACATCATTTAGGTCTTGGAGATTGGCGTCACAAGTTTGATATTTTACTCTGTCCCTCATTCTTTTCCAAAAATAATTTATCATTATTAAAACTTTGTTATGGTTTCCTTAGTGTATTAGCCCTGCCTATTGGGTAATCGTCGGTGGCATAGCGGTTAGGACGCTCGCCGACCATGCACATGGTCCGGGCTTCGATACCCTGTCGACTCACTCCTTTACCTCTCTAAGCCAGAAATAATGCTGGTAAAGAGGAAAGGTTGAGCATGAGGCTAGCAACCCCATCCTGTAAAATCAACAATGCTACAGAAATTTCAAGCCATATGTTCCACGTGAAAGAAAAGCAGTCACAGTCTACACATATACAGTATTTATATCGTTCATTTTATTAACGCCGGTTTTAGTTAATTGCCTCTGAATAGTAAGCCGTCATTTTTTTCTTAGTACTGGTAAAATTATTTGGTGAAAAACTGTCTAGAAAACATTTGTAGTTGTCAACAAATTTATAAAATCTGAAGCTACAATATGCTTCTAGTCTCTGTGTAGGATAAACTAAGTTCAGTCTAACCTATCTACTGCTGATGTAGGGTTTCAAATTGTATTTCCTTTTAATTCTTTTTGAAAGTAGAGAGACGAATAAACATCAAGCTTCAGCTTTCTCTGGAATACAATTGTTTATTTTATTATGAGAAAGGAACATAAATGTGGGAACTTTATCAGTGTAATCAGTGTAATCGTAGGATTTGTAAAGATGGGGCACCTAGTCACCATTGTAAGATAAAAACAGTGAAGACACTAGAGAAGCTTTTGGTTAAGATTAAGGTGTGTCATTACAACTTCTGCTTTTTATCAGATTTTGTGGTGCTGATAAACTGAATAACACTCAGCGTTTGTCATGGATCTAGCGAATGACAACATTTAACAATAAATGACAAATACTGTGAATTGTTAGTATTCGATTGTTGGAGGTTATTGGTAGGAAGCCTTTGACCTAGGTTTTGTGCTAGTTGGCACTCATCAGCGAAGGATACATACAACCTCGAAGGAACTCATGTCCCTTCTGAGGTTCGAACCCGCGTTGCAGTTACGCCTTGCTGATGAGTGCCAACTAGCACGAAACCTAGGTGCAAGGCTTCCTGTGGCCGATTGCCTCCAACCATCTAATACCAACAGTTCACAGTGCACCGTGATGGTGAACCACCTAGCATGATGGCCACATTGCAAGCTTGATTGATAGAATTCAGTCTGCACCAAAGATAGAAGTAGTCTAGACACATTACACTAGTTACTGACCAGTGTCCAATCGAAACCGAGAAATACGTTGTTTATTGCTGAGAATTTCTCAGCTGAAGTCATGCAATGGTCGGGTTTCCTTTGAAGTGATTAAAACGAATGTTCCTCATTAAAAATCTAATCTGTTACGTGTGTTTCGATGAAATTGTTATTGTGAATTGGTATGCCACTTGTTTGTTTTACCTCAAGTAATAATTTTAAATGTTTGCCATGTGTTTCACAACTTTCACACAATTTTGTTTTTAAGACAGTCTGGTAACCCTAATTATTTTTGTTTTAAATAGTGAAATAACTGAATGCCAAAGATATCATTTGCTCCGTAATGTGCACAATCCCAAGTCGACAATGATATTTCAACATTTGAAATTCTTATCCAACATGATTTAGTCTATAATATTCGAAGCATGGGGGAGATATTTTATTCCTTATCGCAGAAGTAGTATAGTGTACTTCAGTCGTTTTTGATTTTCTCTGAATCACATCTGGACATGTCTAACATTAAGAAGCTGCATATATACCACAATAAGTGTATCTAAGTTATTGTTAGTATATAGTAGGACACTAAATAGGTAATTCTGAGCGTAAAAAGGTGGAATATTCTCCACCTGTTATGTTTCTCAATAATATTGAGATTGAAATAGAGACGCTGAGTTGGACACAGATGTGCTGATCACGAATACCGCTTGACTACGCCAACAACATTTATGACAGTTACCTGTTCCCCAGCCCATTCTACTTAGGCGACAATGCGCAATGACCTGAGCCGAAAAGTATATTTCGGTATCACTCACAGTATATTTTAAAAAATAATGTGCGATTGAAAGAATCACCAACGATATATCAATTAAATCAAATGAACTGTAGTCAAGATTTGACAGAATAGTTCTAAAAAATTTGGGCGCCGAGTGAGAAGTAGACATTTGTAAATAATTATATTTGTAAAATCTCAGCGATATTGAAATGAGTAATTCCAACGTTTCGTTCGGCAATCTGGTCCGAACGAAACGTTGGAATTACTCATTTCAATATCGCTGAGATTTTACAAATATAATTATTTACAGATATATCAATTAGTCTATAATCATGATCAGTGAGGTAGTGGGTGTTATTTTACGTAGCCCAATTCTGATTGGTTTATTTCCAGACTCACCTTAATCATAATATCCCCAATAAAGGATAGTCCGTTGTTTATCTGTCTGTATCTCACCTCTCACTTTAGAAAAGAGGTATTACTTGTAACCAACTGGAAATACACTGTCTTTTTTATGCACCTGGCTGATCGACATCTATGGGGTGATCTGTTGTTTGACGGAAGGTCTATAGTATTCGTGGCCTCCTCCCTATCAGAGCGTGAAAAATTGTGGCACACTTGAGAACACCTTGTTGTTCGAGACTTAAGAGTTTGGCGTCAACTTGTGGTGATGAAGCACCTGGCTCAGATCTCTTTCGTTTAGAAAAAGGCGTAGTGCCCTCTGGGAGACATAGAGTCCTAACACTCATGAATTTTGGGCTGGCAGGTGCTAACTGGGAATGGCATCTGAGGAGGTCTGTGGAGGGTAATCGTCGTGCATTGCCGGCTAAAACCATCCCTGTGTCCAACACTAGTGCAGTCTTGGCACCGCTGTTGCTTATACCGACAAGATTTGACGAAATACCGAGCACCACAATGCTAGCAGGATGACGGGGATGTCAACTTTGAGCGTCGATTGGTATTACGTGAGTAACTGGGACGTCTGAGTTAGAATCAGGTGGTATGGGACCAGAGGCTGACACAGTTTTCTAGAGGTCTGGCGGAATTCAGTGGTTTTAGGATCACCCTTACGTCAAGACTGAACTAGACTGTAGTTTTTCAGAGATTAGATAATAGGGTGACCTTGTGTCTGTTAACAAGGAAAATACAAATTAAACTATGCCAACAATAGTCCTTTGATACTGAATGACGAGAGATAAATTGCTTTTCGAAATATCTGAGTCTACCACCTCTGAGATGTTTTGAAACAATCAGTCCTGTCTAGTAAATCTGAATAAAGTTATTAGAAGACGGGATTTATCTGAAAAATGTGGAAAATGTATTTATACAATACGTTTTGAATAGTCTCATCACATATTTACTTGTCAAATCAGTTTATACGAAAAATGAAAAACCAATCATAATAAACAACAGTACGTTGAGGGTAACAAAAGTTATTTTCGTGCACACTAAGGGAGGCCTAAATTTACACATTGCTATCACCTCAGAATACTTAAGTATGAGCCAAATTCTTGACTTTGTTCGTAAACAAATAAGATTCATGACTCATGTACACCATTCGTTTCAATTTGGAATTTTTAAAAACTTATCCAGGTAAACATTCATTAATGTGATAGCTGTTTGACCTTCACCTTTACCTTTATAATCAATACAATTCACAAAAAACTCTCATGGTAAATACTATTAGCACATGGTCATACATAGGCATTTTGAAGAGGATAAAGATTACACCTACCCTACGGAATTCTAGAGCATTTTTAGGCAATTGTTTTGTGGGCCTGTTTACCCCATAATAACTTTTATAACTATTATAAGTTCATACTATAGGTTGTGAAATGGAATTTTCACTTTTTTTAGTATTAAATATACGGTGAATTTGGTAGGTAGGCATAACTAGATTGTTTTTCAAAAAATCACACCTCCACGAAATGAGTAATTTGTATAAATATGACACTGTATATAATAGCTGGTATTCGGCAGGCTACATTTCGGTGAAATAATTTTGTAACAGGCGGTTGGGCAAGATGAAAGAAACACCGTTTTCCCTATTTTATAAAGTTGTCATACTTTTGCTGTTTGTTGTTTTATTTAAATTTCATTTGTGTTCGAGTTTATTTTTACTGGGTTAGATTTTATTTGCATTTACATCTTTGAAATAACTTCTCTATCATTTTGTAACTGTACTGTTTTTGCTACTGGTACAGCCTAGCATCTGTACATTGGCATTATGCCTTCTCGTATAGAAATCGAAGTACTTAGGCTCCACAATGACAACAATTAGCTTATCTTCATATGATATAAATAATAGCAGATTCTTTTAAAATCAGGCCTTCTTGTTTTTAAGTAGGTTGAAGAATTCTAATCAAGATAAACTTAACGAAGTTTCTTCTGATTATGGTACCCTTCTAACTCATATTCAGCAGTATTAAGATGTCAACAAAATGCTGCTAACTCTTTGCTATAATACTAAACTGAAGAGATCAATACTTCATGTAACTTTTGATTGGACAATAGTTACTGACT